AAAACCGATATCAACAATTAGAATATCTTTAATGTCTTTGAATTCTTTAAAATCTCCCATTCTAAGTTGATGTAAACATGTAGAAAGGTATTTTCTAAACATTGTCGTTCTTTCATAATATTCAGGGAGAGATCCTTCGCTGTTTTGAAAAGTCGAACATAAAACAAACATCATTTTATATAAATGACACAAAACTCTCAATTTATTTTTTGTTTTTAAAGAATTATCACCAAAATAAAAAGGAAAAGTGCACTCAGTTGTATTACGTGTTATTGTTTTGCTATATGTACCAACTTTTTTGTTTTTAAATTCACTCTCAAGTTCTGTTTTAACTCTGGGTATTGAAACATATGACACAATTTCTTCATAATGTTCCAATACATTATTAATATTTCTACAAATATACAAAAAACGTGTTTTTGCAAAAGTATCAATTGTAACATTTAACATCTTTTTTGTTTTATAAAAGTCGTCAAGTATTTTCGTTGAACAGAACCATTTGATAAAAATGACAATTGGCCCTGCATCAAAGTCACTAGAAAGATCTTCTCCACAAAGATGACACCTGTGATAATAACACCAAATACCATGGACAGGCTGTTCTATAACATCAAAATGGTTTGTTTTAACATCTTTCACCAAATCATTATATTCTTTGTCACTCCAGATTCAACTCCAATTTCGGTAGCATTTCCATCGGTTGTTTCACCAACAACTTTGATATGTGGAATATTTGCTATATCCAACTCATTTTTTAACCATTTTGCAACATTTTTTCCTGATGTAACACCGTGATAAGTTTTTAAAACCAATGGACACATTTTTATTTTACCGTTATATAAATACCTCATTTCAATTGAATAAACATCTTTGTGTTTTTTCTTAAAAGATGAGTCAAACCCAATAGCAACACAATCAACTTTATGTTCCACTATTTGATTCAATTTTTCAAGGAAATGTGTATTTTCGCGTGTCATTTGCCTTTTAGCTGTTCTATAATCTATATTTAAACATTCAACATCTCGTCTTTTATCTTTGATGATATAAGATACCGCTACATCAATTATAGTTTTTATCATTTTAGTTTGATTTTGCGAAAAATGCGCCTCAATTCCAAGGGAATTGATAATATATGAAGTAACATGATTCATTCTGTGTTCAATGATATTCCTATCTTTATAAGTCCTTGATTGTTTAGTATCAAATACGAACCAAAAAGAAGTAACAAATCGATCAACTAAAAAAGTGTCATTAACCCAACAAAATTGCCTTATTTTTTCAGCTATATTTATGGGATCTTTGGTTAATATATCCGATGAAATTGTTTCGGTGAATTTATTTTTAACAAGTTCGTTTATTTGATCGATTGTTTCATGTTGTAGTGTAGTTTTAGAAAGTGTAGTATCCATTAATATATTTTCTGATGTCTCTTCGGATTCCTCAAAATATTCTTCAAGAGAATAGTCATCACTTTCAGATGTATTTGATGATAATACATCACTGTTTTCTTGGACATAAGAATATTCGTTTTCAATATTTAGTGTATTCGTGATATGTATAGGATTTAGTCTTGATAAGTTTTCAATATTCGAGTTTAATGAATTTCTAAAAATCAAAGGAAGTGCCGGTGGTATATTTTATTGTGTTGCTTTTTTGACAATCAATGACAACCAATATTTGTTTGACTTAAGTTTATTAAAAAATAAAAATACGATTTTTTTCTTTTGTAATTTGTGATCTGGAGTTTTAATAAAATAAATACACACATTAGAATCATTTTGTTCATCAATAAAAGTAGAGTACAATTGGATAATTTCATTTTCGTTTAGAATAACCGGTTCTTCATTGAGTTCTTTTGGGAAACTTTCACCATATAATGGTTGAAAACATGTTCTGAGTTTGTTATGAACATCGGATTCATGACTTTTACATGATGAAAAAAGCATCCACAATTCATCTCTCAAACAAAAAGAAAACTCAACACCTTGATATTTGGCAAATAAATATCCTTTTTTAAAATAATTAAAAGAATTTACATCGAAAATCAAATCGTTTGGATTGCTCAATATGTTTTGTTTTTTTCAAGAAAGCCAATTTATATAAGGAAATTGAAATAATGAAAACACATGAAATTTAAATGTTACGTAATTGTTTATTTACAATGTTTTATAATTATATTATTATGTAATAAATTGCAATATATAATATTTATTTATCACAACATTAATGTTTTATTGTTGACGACATTCAATAGATACTAAATAGATTTTTTAAATATATTATATTATTTTGGTTTTATAATTATAAAATGAATCCTTCCACACACAAAAACTATAAAAATAAATAGAAATACGTAAACACAATAATCATATTATCATTGAAGACTATTGAGATATATACATACACAAATTGGTTTGTTTTTTGTTACAATAGTTTGTTTGAAAGTACAGTTACGATTACCAAACGAAATGATATGATATTTACATACATGTATGTATGTTTATTGTACATTATTTTATATTATAAACTAGAAAAATAATAAAACATCATATTATTTTAA